ACAGTAGATATAGAGATTTCATTTAAACTCACATACTTGTAGCATGTACTGCAGAGTCTGAAAAACTGGTATGCACATGTGGTATTTAGCAAGAGTCAGGACCCTGAAACCTTGTTTAAACAACCAAGTGCCGTGATGCAGATTCCAGTAAACTTTTCATTCTGTATTTACAGTCTGGGGATGACATTTTACCCAAAGATGATAAAGGTAATGTCATCGGTGGAAAAGCAACGTTCTTGGATGCCTGGGAGGTAGGTTCCAGCTTCCTCTACGTGTGCTGGGAGAGAAATCTTCAGTTATCCATGAGACTTCCCATTGACATGAAAGAGGCCGTGTGCCTGATGCTTTCTAATTTCATCATTGTGATTCTCTAGCTCTTCTAATATGTTCCTCATCACCTTTGGCTTTTGGGTGCATCTGATACTATTTATATTTCAAGGCTAATACTGTGTCTTCAAATAAGAGTGGAAATCCAATGTACCCCACTTTGGGGAATACACATACTGTTCTCAAACCAGGGTGAGCCATTTGGAACAGGAGGTTTGGGTCTGGGTTTGCTCATAGCAGCTGAGTAACCTAGGGTCAGTTTTGTAACTCTTGTAGGGCTCAGTTTTCTCTTCTTAAAAAGAAGTCTTATAACACATACTACTAATATGTATTTTTGAGGGTGTGATAAAGATTAAGATGGTTTACATGCCAGGAACATTAGTCATAGCGACCATATAATCATCTAAACCTATAAGGCAGGATTAACATCCCCATTTATAAATAATGACATTTGAAGCCTAGTTTGATTGGTGACTTGCGCAGGTCATGTAACAATGTGTGTGGCAGAGCTGGGATTGGACCCAGACTCATCTGAATCACAAGTCCAACTACCAAAGCCATCAGCGTGGTGCTTGCCAGGCAGTGAACACACATCCAGAAATCAGGGAGCCTGAGTGCCCTGCTTCCCAGATCACATCATGACCTGTTCACATCATTCACATTCAAAGTGAATTAAGTGATCAGTGTTTTCTCTGATGATTTTTTATTATACTCTTATATCCTCTTGCAAATGCTAGTAGAGAATGAAGTGGAGGAATAAGTTATAAATGAACACTGGCATATGACTCCAAGAGTTAATGATGTCATCTTGGCAGCTGTCTGTGTAGGGATGCATGTAGTTGCGAGTTTGTATTGTGTTTTACAAGGAAAAATATATTGAGCCTCACCTTTCTGAAATGCTTAAAATTGACATGATTCAACTAAACATAGCTTTTTCTGTGTATTGTTTGTTCAAAAACATTAATCCACAAGCACAGCGTTCTTTTTTTAAGACAGAGTCTCACTTTGTCGCCCAGGCTGCAGTGCAGTGGCATCATCTTGGCTCACTGCAACATTCCTCTATCGAGTTAAAGCCATTCTCCTGCCTTAGCCTCCTGAGTAGTTGGGACTGCACGTGCGTACAACCACGCTCGACTAACTTTTGTATTTTTAGTAGAGGCAGGGTTTCACCATGTTAGCCAGACTGGTCTCAAACTCCTGACCTCAGGGGATCCACCCATCTTGGCTTCCCAAAGCGCTCAGATTACAGACGTGAGCCACCGCACCTGGCCATTTGCAATACAGTTTATCAGTTTGTCTTAGCTCCTATGAAGATATTAATATGGCTCGTGTGTCAGTGTAGCGTGCGTCTCACAATGCTATATTTTGTGAATGAATACAAGGATGACTGCTAAATACAACATTTGAAAGGTATGAAAAGATATCAGTGATCAAGGTCAGAGGCTCTGATTTGAAACGAGCAGGCTTGAATATGAAAGCGCTGGATGTTTCTGTAGACCCACAGCCAGTTCAGTAGAAACCTCATTGACCACCCTGAAGCAGAGGGGAGGATAAAGTATAAAGAAGTCAAGTTCGAAGACAGGCAAACTAACTTAACCTATGGTGTACAATAGCATTTATATTATCTAATTGCCCCGTCAGAAACTTTGGGAACCTTATGTTTTTATAGTATCTAAACTCTACTGCCCAATTTGAATAACTTCATCCAAACTAGTGGTTCTCAATGTGGTTGTTCATTAGAATCACCTGAGGAGTTGAAAAATCCCAATGTCTAGGCTACAACTCAGATAAAATCTGTAAGAAACTCTGGGGGGTGAAATCCAGCCACCGATATTAGTTGTTTTTTTTTTTTTTTTTTTTTTTTTTTTTTTTTTTTTAAATTCAGAGAGAGTCTTGTTCTGTTGCCCAGGCTGCAGTACAATGGCAAGATCATAGCTTAGTGCAGCCTCGGACTCCTGCGCTCAAGCAATCTTCTCAAGTACCTGGGATCAGAGACACATGCCACAACATCCAGCTAATTAAAAAAAAATTTTCTGGTAGACACAGAGTCTTGCTATGTTGCCCAGGATGGTCTCGAACACTTGGACTCAAGCAATCCTCCTGTCTCAGCCTCTGATAATATGTATCAGAAAGATATATATTATTAGTATGTATTATAAGACTTTTTTTTAAGAAGAGAATACTAAGGCCTATAAGAGTTAAAAACTTACCCTAGGTTGCTGAAACCCAGGCCCATGATTTTCCCCTCTTTTCTCTCTCGCTCTCTTTTTTTTTTCTTTTTTTTTGAAGCATACTTTAAACTCTACCTGAAGGTCTGCCCTGACAGCTGCAGGCTGTGTGAATCTCTTCCTTCTCTTTCCTTTCTGACTCTGTCTATGCCACGGTCATGTTATCTGAGGCAGCCTCATGGTCATGGTTGATGGCTCCATAGAAGGGAACCCTAGCACTTTAATTGGACTATAAGAATCCCAGAAGAAGGAAGCACATTGTATACTTTTACATCCTGACAACTTCTGGAACATGTAATAGATGGCTAATAAATACATGTTGCACTGGAGGCTGCTGCTAACATACATGATACCTTTGGGCAAGTTTGGAAAATGCCCGATATAGGCTAAAAGTTATACAAAGATTCCCTTCCTTGGGGGTCCCTGTAGTTTCTGTACTGGGAAGCATGGCTGGATATGCAGACAATGGGTCAGGTTTCAGCCCCACACAACTCCTTGCCCAGGTGCCCCTGCCAGGGCATAATCTATATGCATGACCTTCCTGCAAACCCAAGCACGGTTGGTGTGGGAGAAAGTGACTCAGGACCCACAAGTGAGGCTTCTCCACATACTGCAGTCTCTTCCTAACACAGCTTGCCCAGGTTTCGGTGTACAATGCACACAAAACAGTAACTACCCGCTGTCATTTGGATTCATTAAAAATAAAATCATCTCATAAGCTTGCAAATGTTCATTTTTTATTTTTTGCATTATAAAACCTCATATTTCCCCTGTATAGAGCAGTATAATTTTGTATGTGTTTCTTTATGTGTAAGTTGAGAGTGGCAAGAATATAAAATCTTTACCTGTTACTCCTAGTTTTTCTTGGGGTGGGGAGGGGCAGTAGGGCTGGAACCAATCACTGATGCGCACCCAGGCCCTGGACTGAAACTTCCTGTGAATGCTTCGGCTAACCCTGTTGTGGTGGATCCTTTAGCAATTTCTGCCCCAGGGAGGACTAAGGCAAGCCAGGGTCCCTGTAGTCCCTCTGGGGCTGCCCAAAAGGTCTTCCTTTCTATGACAGGCCATGGAGGAGCTGGTGGATGAGGGGCTGGTGAAAGCCCTTGGCATCTCCAATTTCAACCACTTCCAGATCGAGAGGCTCTTGAACAAACCTGGACTGAAATATAAACCAGTGACTAACCAGGTAAATTCTCTTTAGTATAAGGGTAAATAAAGGTCTTGCCCTATTACTTCTTAAACATTGGGAGGAATGTTCAATGCTATCTATGCCCCGAGTGTCATCTCAGGGGTCAGTGATCAGGACACTTGTGGGAGGTGTGAGGCTGATCTCATGGGTGTGTTAGCAGGAATCTCAGTGGATAGGTGTTTGGCCTTTCTTGGTGGTCTTTTTGTCTGTATGTGTAGAACTCCCTAAGAACAACTCAAAAAGCCAGCCAGCTTTCCCCGTGATGCGGATTGTTTGCTGTTGCAGGTTGAGTGTCACCCGTACCTCACGCAGGAGAAACTGATCCAGTA